GCTGACAACACTACATGTGTGCACTTCCTTTCATACTTATCCCTGTACATACCTATTTGACATTCCGTACACATGCATACTCTTTTATATGTGTCTACTAAAGCCTACATAAATGCACTTACATTCATGAAAAACGTGTACATCCACACGTAAGGACACTCACACTTCCATGTCTTGCAAGTTATTTGGTGTTGCTATGTCTGTAATATCGTCTGGTCGTGCCACCTTTTTAAGTTATGTCCCGTTCCAGGTATGTGACCTGTCCGTTGTGTTCTTATCATGTTCTGGTGGATGGTGTGTGTTGATGAGGTTCTTGCTAGCGTACACACTTCATTCCATTTCTTCTTATTAACAGGTTCATGCGATTTCATACGTATGTGTGCACTCGTTCACGTATAGTCCCATGCAACCGCTTAAATGCAAAATAGCGGAAGTCAATTAGCGGAGTAATCGTTATTTATAATAAGACAACAGAAACAGGGAGTGGTGCATTGTTTTGGATTGAAAAGTACAAGGATTTTCTGTCAAACGGTGACGTTGAGCAACCCACACACACCCATTTATAATCAAAATATCTCAGTTTCTGTTAGTCAGATTTTAAAATTTTCAACTGCATATGAAAATTGACATGTTCATTTACAAGGTTATTGGCATAGAATATGTAAAAGCAAAAATATGATATTTTTCACATTTCGAGCCAGACTGCCTCCCCCCCCCCCCCCCCCCCCCCCCCCCCCCCCCCAACGTGATAATAAATTGGGAAAGCACAACAAAGATAGAAGCCACAAATAAAAAATAAAAACGGAGATAGGCAAAAAAGAAAGAAAAAGGCCAAACCGAAAAAAAAATTAATTGGGGGAGGGGGGGGTGGTCTTACGCCATTACACATGTATGAGGCGGGGGGGAAAAAGCAAAAAAAAAAAAAAAAAAAAAAACTAGAGGTTAAAAATGGGACCCTGTTTTGGGAGAGTGCGCATGGTGGCCGCCCTGGTGCAGTCAGTGACGACGAGCTTGGACATCCAGCAAAGGAGTCAGCCCCGACACCAACAATAGCAAGGAGAGCAACGTAGCACTAGATCAGGCGTATCCACACGTCATAAAACGCACAAACAAACCCCAAAGAAACAAGAACGCAAATAAAGCCAAGCCCTAGTGGCTGGATGGAGCAGTATGATTTTTTTTTTTCTATTGAATTGAATTAAGGGAGGTGGTAATGGAACAACATCTAGTGCCACCAGACAGCTAAACGGAGAGAAGGGAAGAACATAAAGTGCATGCAGAAGGCTCAAAGAAAGGTATAGAACGACGTAACGTGCGACGAGACAGCTCAAATAAGAGAATGGAGCAACATAATGTGAATAGAACAACATGTCGAACGACCAGAAGCTAAACAGAGGGACAGAGGGGATGGGAAATCATAAGATACGACTAAAATACCTAATTCAGCAAACGTTTCCAGAAGATATATCGGTATCCATCTTAAGCTAGGCAGTCTTAGAAACTAGGGTCATTTATGAAGAGTGTCATTGTGCGCAGTCTTCGCATGACTGATTGTAGACACATACACCTGCAGGCAATTTGATAGCAACACATTTTTTTTGAGGGGGTTGGGAGATCATATCAGTGTAGTATAATTATGAAAGCAATGGCAAACTACTGAATGTATAATGTTTTTAAAATCAGCTAACCGCAAAAAAATTATAGATTTAGTTTGCGAAGCCCTAAAATGGATATGACATAACTACTCACATGTAATATATACTTGTAAATGTGCTATGTTTATGACATGATACGAATTAAATCCTAACTCAAAAGTTCTGGTTATAAGGGATGGGGGAATGAAAAACTTAGCTGATAAAGACTTTTTTTTAATGAGGACTAGTGCAGGCGTCGACGTACCCTTCTCTTCACAGAAGGGCATGTTTAAATTCAAATATGGCAACACTACATGTTAATAACCCATGTTCAACACTCCCTGATAATAAGAAACGATTATCAGCATCAACCTGGTGTGCTGTTTATCTGTCAAAGGAGGCCTAAAGTCCCCACTCCTTTAATGTCTAGTGCAATCTCTTCGATATTTGATGCAAACTTTTTTAGCACCATTCTCCTCTCCCATCAATGGTTTTCTCAAAGTTTACCCCAGGTGCCCTTGTTTTCGCAATGTAGTTTCTACCTGCTGATCTAGTGATCCCGCTTTTTTTTCGAGATGTGTCCAACATCTATATGGCGATCTACTGAATGTAAAACTATATAAATTAAAGGTTTAGTTTGCGAAGCCATGAAAGCATATGAAAGCATCTACTCACATGTAATATAAACTTGTAAATGTTCTATGTTCATGCCATGATCATAGCGCTGTAATGTTGTGAATTCCCGGGGAAATCCCAGAGAGTTCTCGATGGGGAGGACAAGGTCGAAGGACCAGTGATACAAGAGAAAAACGGGATTAGTGGGTCTCGTGTATCTGATGGTGAGCGAAGTGAGGGACACAAGAAAAGCATGAGATGTGAACGGAAGACGTGAACCGGAAAACCAGTGATACAAGATAAAAACGGGATTAGTGGGTCTCGTGTATCTGATGGTGAGCGAAGTGAGGGACACAAGAAAAGCATGAGATGTGAACGGAAGACGTGAACCGGGAGACAGGAGTAAGAAAGTTGAAGTTCGGACCTGGCTGAGAGAGGTCGCATGAGTGGACGCCTGAGAAGAATAAACGAATTGTGAAACGAGTGTTATATTTTGAAAGGAGGATATAATGTTTTCCTCATGTCCTAATGTCAAGTACCAGGGCTCGTAAAGGATGGATGGATGGTTCCAGAGACGCTGATGGGTTCATGTAGTGTGGAGAAGTTGACCAGGTCGCCAGAGTCAGCCGAGCAAGACGAACACGAGGACGCGAGAATGTATGCATACGATATATTGTGATTCATCGAATAAAAGCACGCAACTCAATATTTGTTCCTGTTATGTCTTTGCTACTTACTGTTCGTCTGAAAACAATATGGCTTAACAACACATACCCCTAGCAGAGCACATTACAAGTTGGGTGCTCGTCCGGGATAAACCGGGATAAGTGGGTCTTGTGGCCCTCACTTCGCTCACCATGAGATAAACCAGACCCAGTTATCTTTTTCTCTTGTATCACTGGTCCTCCGACCTTGTACTCCCCACCGGGAACTCTCTTAGATTTCCCCGGGAATTCACAACATTACAGCACATTAACATAATGGTGATGTCCAACATATCGCCGTTTTTTTTGTTTTGGGGGGGGGGGGGGGGGGGGTTAATTGTTGATACTAACTGTTGCTAATCACACTCGCCATCGCCATAGTCTGTGAGTCTCATGCCTCTTCATAGCGCAATATAACAGTATCGTCTGGAAAAACAGAAAGGTGCCAGTCGAATCAAAGGTAATCCAGATATTTCTCTGATTTATTAGGCTGTAATTTATTTCTAATATTTCATAATTTTCTCAGACATTTATTACTAAATGCTTTTAACTTTCTTTTAATGTTTAAAACGATCATCCAACTTTTACTAACGTGTTCTAAAGTTGAAATTGGGATAGAACAAAAATACTCAGGTGTTTTAAAACTACATAATTTATTCTCAAGACCTGTTTTTCCTGCCTCTCAGAGGGCATCATAATTTCTTTCTTTATACCAACCAACATACAGTGTGTGTGTGTGTTCGTTTGTGCGTTAGTGTATGTGTGTGTATTTAATAGCCAAATACGTATATTTTAATATTGCAAAACTTTGTGTTAGACGTATTAATATCTAATCCCTCCAAATATTGTAACAAATTTTACAGCGATATATCTTGCAATAAGTGTCATTTACAAAACTACGCTATATTATGTTAAATATTATAATGAATGACAATGAAATGTACACTGTTAAACGGGCTCGTACGAAGCATAACATTCGGCGGTACCTGGCGTAACAAAACGTACGAATCTCAGAACATTGTTATTCCTGTACGGAATACAGTCGAAAATTTAATCCACAACTCTCTGAGTGTGTGACAAACCACTCAACAAATTCAGCTTAGTCACAGAAACACCCAACTTCAACTAAGTATTTTCCGTGACTCAGATTTTTCTCCTCTGAAAATGAAACCATTGATTTCGCTCAGACCTGATTTTTTTTTTTATGAGTAGAGATAAACAAAAACCGTGCACTGATTAAAAAAAGTTAGATACCTGAATGGCTTGACCATACGAATAGAGTGAGAGAAGAACATTGACGTGAATACAATAGTGGTGTGAGATGGTAAAATGTGACAGCTTACTCCAATTAAAAATGACTTAATAGTTTTTCTTAATGCGTAATTCGCTTTTGTAAAACTCACAAACGCATACACACATGCACACACACGGAGAAAGAAAGAGAGAGAAAGAAAGAAAGAAAGAGAGAGAGAGAGAGAGAGAGAGAGCGCCTTTATACGCTCGGTTAGCGCATCCGGTAATCGATCGATTGATCGATCAGTTTGTCCTCTCCGGTCTGCTTCATAAAGGTTTAACATGCCATCATGAGATTTTTAAAATCTCAACACTGATGGTAGACCAACAAGACAAACTCTAGATACCCCTTTCAACTTTCAAGAAATTATAATTAAGACACCCGTAATGTTTACAGCTGAACAATAAAAATATCACGTAAAAAACTGTCACAATTTAAGATAACAACCACAATGCAGCTTGGTGAAATTTAATGAAGTAAACTACAAACACGTTAAGTTAATAGGTTTATAGAGTTTGTAACTTTCCCAGTCTTATTTCGCTGTTGTAGTAATTCTTTACCAAGAAATTGCAGTATATGTTGGGGTATATTCCACTAACATGAATAAAGTGCAGATGTAGATCAGCTGGTCTCTTTACTCAAGATTATCTAAAGATAGTCGGAAGTTTCATTTTCTGCAACATGGTCGAATTCCAAACAGATTTCCTTCAGGGTTCTCCGTGCCATTTCAATGAAGATCTTTCCCTTCAGACATCAGTTAACGGGAGGAATGCATTCATAGCTGTAAAAACAAAAACACCATAAACGTTGTTAACAGTAGATGAAGAAACAACGAATATAACTTGTATTAGTAAAATAATAGAAATCATTGGCTTGTTTTTAGTTCGCGCATCATAATTTATATCCATTTCTCGTACGAATTGTTAAAATGCATCAACGAATGCAGACAGTAAACCTTGTTGCTCTTCCATATTGATTGGGTCGTAGCTGCCGTATGAGTACTTTCCTAAATCTGGTCTTGGCTTTCGATGCTCGTAGACTGACGGAGATAGGGAGAAGGAGAAACTGATCACATATAACCTACGAGTCGAGCATCTGAGAAGAAGCGCCCATACTAATGCGATAGAAGCAATGGTTTTAAAATTCCATGCTCTTTTGCTGAAAGCTTAATCTCAACGCGAAATGGACATGCTAGTGACGATGGACTGTGATTCCTATGCATACTTCGAGCACCATGTAGTACTATCGTCTAGAAAAGGGTATCCGAAAGTATCTACTGCCGACCCCCATGTGCCCCTTGACGATCCAAAGGCGGTAGCGTCCCCTTTCAAACTAGATGAGAGTGGCCTTGGAACACGCTAAAATGGTGGTAGAAGTCCCAGATGCTATAAGGGGAATCTAATCAAATTAAAGCAGCAGTAGGAGTTGGTTTGGATGAGGGGAAGGAGTGGAAACAGAGAAGAAGATATAAAAGAATGGGGAAAAAGAAACGTTTTGTTAATGTTATTACTTGTCTCAGTGTTGTGCAACCGGATACATTCGTAGTGATTACCTAATTTTTTAGAATAAACAAATGAGTTAACTAGTTAATTCCAATTTTCGTTACTAATACTTTACAAGTGTTGCTTGATGTCTGTTTTAATGTAACCTTTTCCTTGCTTTCCACGCTCTGTAGGAGGATGATCTGAACAAAACATTCTACAAGCAGGAGTTACTTGTAAAATACATTCTTGGATAAAAGACTTTATGTAATAACGTTTCGCTGGTGTTAAAATAGAACCCAATCAAAGCAGCGTGGAAGCGCAAAATCCTTTCTTTACTTCCATAAATGGCATGATTTAATGTTTTCAACAAGAAGTGATCAACATTCTGTACTTAGATAACTGCAGTCTTGTGACTGCCACAGAAGACATACTAAGCAAACATCTAGCTACCTTAGAAGTCAATAGAGCTAAAAGAGTACGGCTCATAATTGCAGTCTTACACTAAAGCAAACAATACCCACAGAAACCAGCTATTCTTTCTCCTGAAACATTGAAAGAAAAGCCTAATATTATAAAATCAATCTATACTTCAGACAGATACACTCACATCCGTGGGAGCTGTCCTTTACATCAAACACGGAAGCCAACGTGAAAAGAAAAGAATCCATCCAAAAGTCAAACAAAGATTCATTATATGGGGGAAAACATGCAAGGACCATAATGTGGATCCAGTATAAAATTAGACATGTCTACACTGGAGCAGATGGTTTATGGGATATGCCCCAACCTCCTGGGCTAAAACGACGGGAAAGAAATTGTCATTTAGCAAAAAGAAGATAGAGACAGCATGGTAATATAATAATGACCTGCTGACATATGAAGTTCATATTCACACCAGAACCATTGATTTGTTGTCCAAACTTATCTAGTAGAGTTCTGGTATATAGCATAGCAGTTACAGTGTGAATATGCCACCGTGTCCATTTATATTGATAAAATGCTATTAAAAGATTCTCAGAATATCTTGGACAAAGAAGAGGAGAAATATTGACATCCTAAAAGATCTGAACATCAAGGAAGATTGGCTAATAAACAGTATCCTTTCTCGAAAGCTGAAATATTTTGGTCATATCAAGCGCCACGACGAATTGGAAAAAAGTATAGCAAAAGGCTTGGTATCAGGAAGGAGGGGCAGGGGTCGACTGACACGAAGAGGGCACAGGATATAAGTGACTCTTTGAGTATTAAAGTACATGATTCGGGAGAGCTGGCGAGAGACCGAGTTTCTTTCAGGCAAACTGTGATGAGAGCGACGTTCTGCAAAGGACCTGCTACATGATGATGATGTCCATTTATATAACGGAGCTGTAGTACTGTAACAGTGGAGAAAATACTAGTTTGTCCACTTACCCAGTAGGTGTTTCCCGACAATCTTCGTTGTATTCACATTTGCCACAGCCAGCAGGGACGCAGACACCGATGACAATCTGAATGCATACCATACCTGGAGTACACGGGTATGGCTTCTGTACGCAAATTTCACCTGAGACACACCAGAGAAATTCTTTGATAACAGCAAATATAGTTTAGTAGGACTTTAAATGTCCAGTTTACCGTGAGGCTACAATATTCGCCATTAATTTGTTCCTGAGGGAATGGCGAATATTAAAAACTGAGGAATATCCAACGGGTCTTTTCTCATAGTAATTACTAAAACTGTTTTAATCATTTCCCAGTCCCGAATTTTGATTATCTATGCCTTAGCATAGATAAAGCAACGGGAAACTACCACATTAGTATCCCAAGAAACTCATCATGGAAGCCAAAGATCTGAACATCAAGGAAGATTGGCTAATAAACAGCATCCTTTCTCGAAAGCTGAAATATTTTGGTCATATCAAGCGCCACGACGGATTGGAAAAAATTATAGCAGAAGGCATGGTACCAGGAAGGAGGGGCAGAGGCCGACCGACACGAAGATGGGCACAGGATTTAAGTGACTCCTTGAGTGTGAAAGTTCATGAGGCGGGGGAACTGGCAAGAGTCCAAGTTTCTTACAGGCAGACTGTGATGAGAGCGACGTTCTGCAAAGGACCTGCTACATGATGATGATGATGCCTTAGCAACAATAAATGTTTACTCACAATTGATCTCAGAAATCATGGCAAAACAATTTTAAAACATAATAATCATTCTAGTTATTATTACCTTAATTTTGTGACATAGATGTATGTGTCTTGATGATGTAAATCTCATGTAGGTCCACGTGAATAAATTATACGTTTTTGAAAAATACATTATCTTTTTTGACCCAAAAAGAAAATAAAAAAACAAGTAGCTGTTATTTGGAAGGGTAGTCAACTTTCCTTATAACATCAGGTCATGTCACTTCTGGAAATTCATGTCTTGATTATGGTGTTGTTCGTCCATCACAAGGGATGAAGACCACTCTCAGTCAAAGTAGCAATGATCAATGATTATGAGTACCAAGGTGGCTGATTAGTCCAATATGAGCCAGGAAAGTTTTTGAGCAGGGCGGACAACAGATGGAAGACGCAGTAGGTATGAGATTAGCAATACGATTCTTTCTAGTCTGCCTCCGTTTCTTTGCCTGTGCAACCTCCACTGCCTGGTAGGTTGATGCGCCATGTCTGAGGGACGCATACCATCCAGAACGGTCTTGTGCAGCAGCCTCCCACGTCGCTGTGTTGATGCCAAAAGAATTGAGAGCAGTCTTCAGAGTCCCATGCTATATTGTCTTGATTATAGAGCACTTCCAAACGACACACTAGAATTGGTTCATTTTTCAAAGAATGTTTCTAGTGTTGTTTGCTTTCTTCTGTTTTTTAAAGTGTTCCGAAAAAATCCAAACACTTCGTCAACAATTGAGTTGATAGGTTAATTAACAATAGCGACCTTTGGGTGGCAAGTCTCGTTGAAAATCAACCGTTTTGCTCAAGTAGACAGCCATTCCCTAATTTCAGCACTTGGAACAGACCCATCAACTGCTTTTTTCTCCTATGACTGCTCGACCGCATCGAAACAAAGACAAGTTGATTTTTATGGAGAATTTCAAACAAAAATTTCTACGAGAAACAAAAATGACGAATTTAAAACACAGAAAGACGAATACTGGAGTGGACTGAATATCAGAGTTCCACGGTACGCTGCTAGCCTCTATATTTACAAATTAAAACTGACGATTACATAAAGTCAATGCCAGGAACATCTTGCCAATATGAAGACTAATATATTGCAAATGTCATAGTTTTGCAATAAATAGTGTCACAGACATCAAAAAGGCAATTTTATAGAGAAGTAAAGGTCCCGGCACTCACCGTACAGTGTCTCAAAGGTGTCGGTACTCACCATAAAGTGTCTAAAAGGTGTCGGTACTCACCTAAAGTGTCTCCTACAGTACCGCTGAGAAATTATACCTAAAGCACCGGTCCTGTATACACGCAGACCAGAGAAAAATCTGTTGTAATCATTATCCTTAACGTTTGACATAGAGCGTCCATGGGGAGAAATAGATGGTTTTAATGCTAAGAGTGGGCGTCACTTGATACTGCCATTCAATTTGAAAGTGAAATGTCTTTAATGTTTTCAGTATTTATTCTTCTTATGCGCAGTTTTGCTCCCGCATCACATTTTCCGCACCTGCGTTGATGAATTGTTTCTGCATTCTAGCAAGGCTCCGAAAAATTTTCACTTTTTTGGTGACAGTGTACGTTGCACAAGGTATTAGTCTCCGAAACCTCCTAGATCAGGCGCACTGAGCCCTCAAAGCCTCATCCTTATAACATCTGTTTAAGGAGTAAAGAACACAATCCCTACCAGCAATAGCTACCTATATATATATATATATATATATATATATATATATATATATATATATATATATATATATTTTAAAGTTGTTTCTACATCTTATGTTAGATCAAAAATATTATAATCTTTATCTGCATTTAGGTACATATAATAATATTATTATTATTATTACTTTTATTATTATTATACGCAGTTTGAAAAATTATTTAGACATTTTGAGCGCCACTCCCCCCTTCCCTTCCCCCACCGAAAATGTGTAAGGGGACTAGGTACCTCACCCCCTCTTCGAGCAGCCTCCACCCCCTTTCCCCTCTATGTGTTGGCTTTCATTCCTTTTCGTGCTCGAAGAATCTAGAAGACGTTTCGGGGTTTGGTTTTCGCTACGAAATGCTTAAAAAAAGTTATTTCGGCATTCGGACAGTGGTACAGGAGTGGTACCGTGGAAGAGATTAGGGCCACACAATGTGGAGTTGGTGCTCAAATTTTGTTAAAAGGCATACACTTTGTTGTCTTTGATTTCCGCATTTTTGTTTTTTAAAGAAAGGACAGTGAAAAAAACGCGCTATGGTGAAGCTTGACCTGTTGATCAAATAGCGCATATTTCAGTTTTACTTTGAAAACACAACGATCATTATATTTGTCTTTACATAACAAAACATAAGCATTGATCCGTTAGGGTCATGGAGGTGTATCGATTGAAGCACTAACACGCCAACCCAGGCATCTTTCTCTTGTCTTCCATGTTGAACAAGTGTATGATAATTTTGTCCTTTACTTATCTTAGTCTTGCCATTCCAGGTTTTTCTTTGCCCTCTTTTTTGACTACCCCCCCCCCCCCCCCACCCCCCACCCCCACACCCAAACCCCATGTTCCTTGAAGTACAGTCTTTGCAATCGAATGATGTCTGACCGCGTGCCAGAACCAAGCCAGCTTGCGACCTTTCACCACTGCCAATAGAGGCTGATGATGTCCTGCAAATGTGTTTACTGTGTCTCTGACATACTTATCAGTTTTATGTTCTAAATAACTATATATTTCGTAAATTCCGACTATTGATTTCGCTCAGTTGTGATGGTTTTTCTTGTTGGCTCTGAGTAGAGATGAAAACCACACACTGATTAAAGAAATTAGGCGCAGACAGTCGGTGTTCTGACATCTTAGGAGAAGGAAATCACAAGAATTTAAAAACGACTAGGAGGATTGGTGTCAAGGAGAGCACGGGGAAAATAAAGAGACGAACACCTGGATGTCTTGGCCATGTCAATGGGGTGAGAGAAGAACATTGACAAGATTCGTGATTCCAGTAAACGTGATGGTGAAATGTTACAGCTCACTCTTTTCAGCTCTGCACATGATGATGATGATTTAGATGTATAGTTGTTTTTACCGGGTTTACATACGCCATCCCCACACTTAATGACAGGTTCAGAGCAAAGCTTGCTTCCACAGGCCGGGCAGCATTTCTGGGCTCCCGGACACCGACGGTCGCTTTCACACAGGGTACGACCGCAGTTTAAGATGTTCTAGGGGAAAAAAGAAGACAACATTACCTGTGTAAAATAATTTTTTTTTAATACTCAGATTTGTATACATATATGAATTGCTGTTGTTCTCCTCCTCCTCCCCTTGTTGTTGTCGTTGTTCTCCTTTTCTTCATTTTCTACTTCCACTTTTTCTTCTTCCTCTTCTTCTTCTTCTTCTTTTCTTCTTCTTCTTCTTCTTCTTCTTCTTCTTCTTCTTCTTCTTCTTCTTCTTCTTCTTCTTCTTCTTCTTCTTCTTCTTCTTCTTCTTCTTCTTCTTCTTCTTCCGCTTCTTCTTCTTCATCTTCATCTTCTTCTTCTTCTTCTTTTTCTTCTTCTTCTTCTTCTTCTTCTTCTTCTTCTTCTTCTTCTTCTTCTTCTTCTTCTTCTTCTTCTTCTTCTTCTTCTTCTTCTTCTTCTTCTTCTTCTTCTTCTTCTTCTTTTTCTTCATCATCATCTTCTTCTTCTTCTTCTTCTTCTTCTTCTTCTTCTTCTTCTTCTTCTTCTTCTTCTTCTTCTTCTTCTTCTTCTTCTTCTTCTTCTTTTTCTTTTTCTTCTTCCTCTTCTTCTTCTTTTTTTTCTTCTTCTTCTTTTTCTTTTTTTTTCTCTTTCTTCTTCTTCTTCTTCTTCTTCTTCTTCTTCTTCTTCTTCTTCTTCTTCTTCTTCTTCTTCTTTTTCTTCTTTCTCTTCTTCTTCTTCTTTTTCTTCTTCTTCTTTTTCTTTTTTTCTCTTTCTTCTTCTTCTTCTTCTTCTTCCTCTTCATTTTCAGCTTTTGCTACTTCCTCTCTCCCTCCTCCTCCTCCTCCTTCTTCTTCTACTTCTTCAAATTTTTGTTTTTTTAACCTGCTTCTTCTTTATGTGTTTTTGTACACAGACATCCAAGATAATGTGGATTCATTTTATTAGAACAGAAACCAGTGGTTTTGTCACCCCTAGATAATGATGTGAGCGCATCTTCCCTCCACTACTAAAACAATTCTCGTTGTAAACATGTGTGCATACATATTATATTATGTCACATATTATGAAATGTATTAGGCATTAAGTATATTATTACCATCATTATTATTGTTATTATTATTATTTGGCATATACGGAATGCTTAAGCTCCTAGAAAAAACACAGAGAAAATTGTTAGAAGCTTGGTACGACACTCAGGCTCTTTAACAATGTTCTCTGAAAGCTTGGTACGACAGTGTAAGCTGTGAATTTTTACTTTGCATGCCACCCACCGCTCTAACCCCCACCCCCCCCCCCCCACCCTCAAAACCGTCCGTTGTTCTAGCGGCGTATTATGTGGCGAACTACATTAAAATGTAGGCAGCAGATTAGATTCGAAAAGATACAAATTTCTGGAAAATGCGTCTGCAAATGCCAGTATTTGTAATTGATTTCTTGAATCGGAAGTTAGCAGTAATTCAGATAGGAGACTATTGGTACTGGCACATCTGAAGGCTGCCTTATTTTCTTTGCTTGAACAACCTTAAAGGCTAATTTTTTTCCACTAGTTGTTTAAAGGGACAATAATTGTCCCCCTGTGTGGTTTTTTTTTTTTTTTTCTCTCTCTGGCACAAGAACGGAGCAGTCGTGTGGCAACCAGTCTACATTGAAGTTGAAACCTTGACGGAGTTTTCTAGTAATTCTTTGTGTAGTATTCACTTTGTTTTCAGGTGCACCTCACTGTGGTCACCATTTTCAACGACAAAGAGATTGAATCAGAGAAGACTGTATATCCCTCCCATCTGTAGTGAGCCGCCGTGATGTAGCGGCTAGACGCTCGCCTGCAGATCGGAAGGTCGTGGCTTCAGATTCTGACGAAGCCGGACTTTATTTTTAATAATGACATTGGCTCCAGGGTTCAGCCCTCCGTAAATGGGTTCCATGTACAATCCTGGGAAGTAAAGGTGGCCGGCATGATGTCGATCACATCACCCACCAAGTGCTTATTGCTCTATGAAAAATAGGACCAGCCCTATATGCCCAAATGTTTGTTACTTTATTTTATTACCTACTTGTGAACTGTCGGCTCTGTGGCTAAGTCGATGCAAACACTTCGTAATGCCGGGATGCCGTGTTCGATTCCAACTGCGGGCCATGCGCCCTGTGTTGGTTTCGACAGTGGTATCAAGAAAGCCGACCGTCCAGGAAGCATTGGCAAACAACTGGACGTAAATTTGCCTAGAAAAACCGCAACGTCCTGTAAAGGATACGCAACTAACCTAAGTTGTGTACAATATTTTAAACTACTATTTCACTTCCTGAAATTTGCTATATGAGTACTGTCTCTTTGCAAACATGGGTACTGTCTATTTGTAACTACACTGTTATTACTGCGTCCCAATAACGGAGGCAATCTTTTATTGTTTTAATGACCCACCTTGATTTTGCCAGGGGCCCTAATATAACCCAACCTATGGGTTGAACGGGATTATATTCTTTTCGGACGAACTCCAGAGATTTGACTGAAGCTCTAATAATTAAGAGGCCGACCCTGCGCAGAACAATCTGAGAAGACTCATTCGTTGCATACGCAGGTGTGAGTAAGGCGTGCATCGCTCAGGAGGACAAACACATTATTATTGTTTATCCTTTGTTAAAAGTATAATCTTGTTCTTACGTGCATTCTTTTCAAATGAGAGTGTTTTTGCTTTATTTTGATAGTGTTAATTGTTGTACATATTATTATGGCATCTTTTACCTTCGCGCTAACAATGTATACCTATAAAAATGATCAGTGCTGAACCTATTTGCATATCTGCTTGTTTGGAAAGAATATCACATCTCTTCTGCTTTCTGCCTTTGTATCGGTGAGCCATTAATTGTAATGCCTCCGGCGGCATTGAGGCAGCTGGCTACACGAAAAGTAGCTGCTAGGAGACTTGTCCAGGCCATAAAGCGAAGATTGGGCAATGACAACAGCTCACAGAAGCCAGCTTTAGGCCTCAGAAATGAGATTCTGAGAAAAGTGGTCCAACTGACAACAAGCGACAAAGTTTGCAATCAGAAAAAAAAAGTCTAGATCTTGAAACCCAGGCCTTACAAACTCTAGTGCATCAGTTACAGTTAGGATGGTTTGGACATTTATGCAGAATGGGAGAAAATCGGCCACCATGGCAGGCACGGGAGTCTAAGAACCAGACCCCCAGGGCGAACAGAGCCCCCTGGCGAGACAAAATCCGATAGTTCCAGACTAATAGAGAACTGGAATGAGACAAAGCCAGAAAAAAAAAAAAAAAACTACCGATAGAGAAGTCTGGCGATCTCTCTGGCAAAGCACTACATCCCAGTGTAAAAGAGGAGCGACTAAGTAAAAGAGCTCCTAATTTTTATAAGTAATATATTTGTTTTATATCCCGGATACTCCAAAAATGTATTACCTCCGGGCAAACACCTAGTTTCTCTTTCCTGAAAGCAGGCTGGTTGGTGGAAGAAGTCTGGTCTCGGCAACAAATTCCCTTGCCATTGTAGGTCTCAACACAAGCGGCTCCCTGGGGACACTGAGGGGACACTTCTGTGCAGTCTATTTGTCTGTAGCATGTCTTTTTGTCCAGCAGGATAGCCTGTGTGTAATTGAGTTGTTGACATTTGTTGTCAATACCTGTGTAAATATAAGCCACGTTAAATAAAACCAGGTATGCTTTCAACACTCCATTTTGCGAAACAAAACATTTAGACACACCACTTCAGTATGAAGTATGACGTACACGAGAACTAATTACGGGTAATTCCTTAAAAGTTGCAGTGCATCTGCCTGAGAGGCCAGGAACGAACAGTCTACATACAAACAAGCTAGATCTCTAGAGCAAATGTACTCGCAAAATTCAAGTTATGGAACAAAGCCAAAGACTAGAAGTGGACTAATAACAATAAATTTCCACCGGAGTGTACGACCGGGCAACGATTAGAAAAAAAAGAAGAATACCTAATAATACAGCTTTAACCTGGACTGAACCTTGCCAATCTGTCCCCGTCATTGTTGAATATCTTCTAGAAACTTTACTTAGTCCTGTTGAATAATTCATTCAATGTATCGAATCACATCCTGATCTATTGCACTGTCCATTTGATCCCAGCGAGCCTTCACAGCGTCTGCTTTATAATAAATATAGCAATATGTGTCCTATAATGTGGTGGAACTACTAATGATAAGTCGATACAATGAAATTATCACTGATAGGGCGACAATAACCACTGAGTTTAAATTACTATTATAGAGACCCGGTTTAGCAGCGTAACTGGGTTTAGCAGCGTAACTGGGTTTAGCAGCGTAACTCGGTTTAGCACAGTAACTCGGTTTAGCAGGGTTACTCGGTTTAGCACCGTAACTCGGTTTAGCACCGTAACTCGGTTTAGCAGTGTAACCCGGTTTAGCAGCGTAACTAAATGTGTGTCGCTGGCCTGCTTTGGGTTTGAATTTTGATTGGAGTGGTTTTTCTTTAAAATCGATGGCTCATTCTCCAAACCAAGTTCCCGTGATGTAGTGGATGCATGTTCTATTCGAACCTGAAGGTTGTAGACGACTCTTCGCCCAATATGCCTAATGGCGTAAAAAATGATCCCTTATACCTCAGAACTATTCGATATAACATGGGCACCGTAAACTTCTACCAACCAACTAGTTTTTATAATATTTTTCTCAGACTTTTTTTCTCTCTCCATTTTATATGTAAGCTCATCTGGTCTAGTCATTGATTTCCATTATGTAATAAAATTTAGTAGCAGACAATAATGAAATATAAATGTGACACTAAAGTAATCAATAAAGGCATTATATCGTGGTGGATAGAACTAGATCCCCACCCTTCCCACCCCACTCCCCTATATTTTGCACAGATACACACGGTAACAATAGATATACTTTGTGTGTATGTGCGTGTGTGTAAAAAGGAGGAATGATAGTTTACTAAATCGTGTTTCCAAAAAGAAAGAGATTGGTAAAGTGTGTGTATGTGAGTTTGTGTATTCCAATCTTATTCTTCTGGTTTCCCCCTCACAACGGCGGTTTTTATGGTGTGTCCTGGTTTATCGCTGTACTGCGATGTCTGCGCCTTTCGACCTAAAATATCTCAGAAAACTCCTAATTAGTCGCTTTTTAAGATATTTGTGTTAGGGGACAGGGGGGTCTGTTTACCCCCGCCCCCAACCTCACACACACAAGTGGTTCCTGGGGTGCACCCAGTCTTTAGGTAATGGATAACAGATTTAACACTCTGGGGAAAACGTAGTTGTTGCTACGGAGTTGCGTGTGGACAGCGACACAGGCGGACAGTTTCTTTACAGCTGTCCGTACTGGTGGCAGTGCACTTATGGTTTAAAACCGTGTGCAGTGACGCTGGTTCACATTTTCCGACTTTACCTTTACCTTTACACCGAACACGGAACGAAGACGGGGAGTAACAAGAACACACAGGGAGTACCATTCAGTTCTCTCTATTGATTATACTTTGGTACTTACTTATTAAATGAAGAGTTAAATATCAAAAACACACACAGAAAAACAGCCATATCCTTACGGGTGTCAACTTTGGATATGGGAACACACTGGGCTTCTTTAGGACAAGTGGCACAGGCGGCCACATCGCGACACACTGTGTCAAGCGGGCACAGGATAACCTCACATCCCAGAGGGGGCTGAGACTTTGCTGCAAGGACACATGATTAAGTCTGTTAGGCTACAAGCCGATATAATTTATCTAACTGATCTAACATGAAAGAAGTTTGTTTAGCAAACATCATATTGTCTCGCAAACTGAAATACAATGGTACCTCGGTATACGTACTAATCCGTTTCAGATCATTCGACATATACCAAACAGTACGTTTACCAAAATACTTTGCTTCTGTCTTCTCCTGAGGATGTTTCGGAAATGTGACATTGTCCGGTAGTTTCGGACTTTGCTTTTATGGCTTGATTTGTGGGGTGATACTTCTATGCAAAGTCATTGACATCTCTGTCCGTCGCTTCATCTCTAGAGAGGTAAACAAATATAGCACTTGGTGTCAAGACAAATTTTGACTCATCTAAATTATAGCACGTGGATCGTGTTCCAAATAAAAGTCGTATGCCAAGCAAACAGGCCATATTCCATGTTGAATATATACCAAAGCGAACATATACCAAAGCGAATATATACCGAGTTAACACTGTACTTTCGCCATAACGAACGCAACGATAATTTGGAAAAATCAGTAGCGGAGGGGATGAAACCAGGAAAGAGGACAGAAGCCGACCAGAACGAAAATGGGCACATGATCAAGAGATGCCTTGGGCAGCAAACTACCGGTAATTGGAGAACTAGCGTCAGACGGAGCTTCTTTCTGTTGGGCTATGATGGGGGCGAGATTCTATAAAGGTCCTGCTACATGATAATGATAGCTAGTGCAATAGCCCCAGAATATGCAGGTTATGATTTTATTTTTGCTTATTGTCAGAACAACACACACACACACACACACACACACACACACACACACACACACACATTGGCTTCCATACCGAGGATTTGACCCTGGGTCCTCCAACAGAGAGTTCAGTGTCTAAACCGCTGTGGTGTTACCAATTTATCTATTTGCTTTGCAAAGTAAAAAAATCGTCATGTTCAACCAGCATCCCTGAAGGGGGAGCTTAAGGTTATAACTGTGACTAGGTTATGTGCGCCATATAGAATGGCTTAGCATTGCACGCTATTAAGAGCCACGAAAAGGAAACATGCAATGTTGATGCGAACAGAAGAGACAGACCCAAATACTGTCCCGACCGGCGACGAAGTCGTCTATCGGCGAGTCAGTTGGCCACCCGGTGGCAGATGTCTACTTGCACCAGTGACAAAGTTGGAGTTGATCGTGGAGTTTAAGAGAGACGGACTTTAAGCCTCTACGTTGTTGTTTTTAAAGCTAGATGTTTTTTTTATGTTTTGACTGATGTTAACGACAGGTAGCTTGTGTTAGGGTGTTAGAGTGACGGTATAATAATTCAGGTTTTAGTCTGTGTTAGCAAGAGGTAGGGGTTATTTTTACCATGATCTCCCCATTTGCACACCACCAGTTGTAGGTCAACTCCACTGATAAGTTGGTTGGACTAGTCTACCGTAGTCGAGGTTATGGGTGTCGCAGTCAGTTGTTGTCTAGTATTTACGTTTTTATTTCCGAGAAAAAGACGGCCTGAGACATAGGTTTTGTCACTCTCTAGGGGGGTTGTGTGTTAGAGCCAGTATCTAAATGTTTTAGAAGTGTTAAAAGCTCTAGCATGGTGAAATATACAACACGCGGTATGAGCTCGAATGCGGAATATCCCGTGACCTTGTGTAAAAAGTCTTATCGATCGAGGCCGACTTATCAGGAGTGAGGTGGTCAGTAGCTCGTCCAATCAGAAGCGAGCTAGTGTGTAGCGGTGTGCAAATGGGGAGACCAGCGTAAAATGTACAGAGGTAGGTTATTACGGGTTTTTATAACAGTTTTCATTTATGTATTTAGTTAGTTATCACAATACTTCTCGTCCTTTTTAGGATGAAATTTTTCGTTATTTGAAGCCCTACTCTGGCTTTAGCCAGGGGCCGCAATATAGCCTGGCCATTGTATGGCCTAAAGGCTGAACGCGGTTTCTGGGACCTCTCCACCTTGATCCTCACCCACATGTTGGCACATCGTGTCATCGGGTGTTTATCGCTTGTGTGATGTCCTGGTGGGGTAGAAAGTCAGTCAGTCATGTATTTAGTTAGATGTTAGCGAGGCGGTCCGTGAAGGGTTGATCAGGTTACGTGACATGGTCTGTCCACACCACTCTCGCCAAAGACGTGCAGTAGCACCGCGGTCCAAGTGTAAGGCACAGTAGCGTCGGGAAGAGCTTTAATGGAGTCTGTTGGTTCGGACCCTGGTCACAGCCGTAAGACCGGCAGGTGAGTGTTTGGGTTGGTAACGCGAACCACTTTTCCCTAACTAAACTGACGCATTGATTATTGTAAACTGCATTAACGCGGTTTCTGGGACCTCTCCACCTTGATCCTCACCCACATGTTGGCACATCGTGTCATCGGGTGTTTATGGCTTGTGTGATGTCCTGGTGGGGTAGAAAGTCAGTCAGTCATGTATTTAGTTAGATGTTAGCGAGGCGGTCCGTGAAGGGTTGATCAGGTTACGTGACATGGTCTGTCCACACCACTCTCGCCAAAGACGTGCAGTAGCACCGCGGTCCAAGTGTAAGGCACAGTAGCGTCGGGAAGAGCTTTAATGGAGTCTGTTGGTTCGGACCCTGGTCACAGCCGTAAGACCGGCAGGTGAGTGTTTGGGTTGGTAACGCGAACCACTTTTCTCTAACTAAACTGACGCATTGATTATTGTAAACTGCATTAAAGATTGGTGTGTATGCTGTCACTGTGTTGGTCGATTGTGTTTAGGAATATACCTTTTCTGTCGTGAATCTGCCAGCGAGCTTTCTTGCCCTGACGGCAGTAAAGTAGGTCTCTGACAGTAATCTCGCTTCTTCTTTCCATTTAGTTCTTTTATCCTTCAAACGAACCGCACAACCACCTAAACAATCCAGTATTGGGAACAGCAAAATTGAATGGATACCCACAACGTAACATAAATGGGTGCAGAGTTCGGATAAGCCAGATTGTTTGGGAAAATAGGATAAAGACTGGAGGGCACAAATAAGTTTGATAAGGAGGATAGAAAACGACACAGAGAGAGAGAGAGAGGGAGAGACAGAGAGAGAGAGAGAGAGAGAGAGAGAGAGAGAGAGAGAGAGACAGACAGACAGACAGACAGACAGACAGACAGACAGACAGACAGACAGACAGACAGACAGACAGACAGACAGACAGACAGACAGACAGACAGACAGACAGACAGACAGACAGACAGACAGACAGACAGACAGACAGACAGACAGACAGACAGACAGACAGACAGACAGACAGACAGACAGACAGACAGACAGACAGACAGACAGAACATGATATTTTACAAAAAATAAAGAGTCATTTACCTTGAGCATGGACCTGTGGATGTAAAAGCATAGACATTTTGACAGATCATTGTGACACTTACTATCATCATATTTATTATATGTTCTTACATTTTTCTTCTTCTCCTTCTTATTATTATGTTTATTTTCCTTTGTTATTATCGCTACCATCTTCCACCCCCCACCCCTCTCCACAGTAACATAGGCTGATACCCAACACTTTCTTTTCAACGCTGGCTGGAGGGAAATTATATTTTCTATTGTGCTTGTAGTGTACTTGTATTAAAACTGTTCTTGTAACAAATGTTGTAACGTCAAATTGGGTGTATTAGAATCATCACCAGGGACATATAACGTGTTTCAAAAACAAATGGTAATATCGCTATTGGTAAATACATAATAGCAAGTGTTTAAATACAGATGTGTCGTATCGTATCTGTGACTATGATGAACAACATGTCGATACCAGGCTCACATATGATTTCAGTTCATCAATACTAGACACACAACTGATTTCAGTTCATCAATACCCAGCACACAACTGATCCGGTACATCAATATCCAGCATACAACTGATCCGGTACATCAATACCAAGCACACAACTGATCCGGTACATCAATACCCAGCACACAACTGCTCCGGTACATCAATACCCAGCATACAACTGATCCGGTACATCAATACCCAGCACACATCTGATCCGGTACATCAATACCCAGAACACAACTGCTTGCAGTACATCAATACCCAGCACACAACTGATCCGGTACAACAATACCCAGCACACAACTGCTTGCAGTACATCAATACCCAGCACACAACTGATCCGGTACATCAATACCCAGCACACAACTGCTTGCAGTACATCAATACCCAGCATACAACTGATCCGGTACATCAATACCCAGCACACAACTGATCCGGTTCATCAATACCCAGCACACAACTGATCCGGTACATCAATACCCAGCACACAACTGATCCGGTACATCAATACCCGGCACACAACTGATCCGGTACATCAATACCCAGCACACAACTGATCCGGTACACCAATACCCAGCACACAACTGATCCGGTACATCAATACCCAGCACACAACTGATCCGGTTCATCAATACCCAGCACACAACTGATTGCAGTACATCAATACCCAGCCAACAACTGACTGCTGTACATACCCAGCACACAACTGATTGCAATACATCAATACCCAGCACACAACTGATTGTAATATATCAGCACACAATATAGAACAAAATAGTTTCGTATGGTGCATTATTGTTCTCTTACGTAGTATAAGCATGGACATCATTATCTGGGGACTACTGTTATCATCATCATCCTTTGTCCTCTGTTGGACGTCATATGAGGCTCGCATTGGATTCTTCCACTCCCCTCTATTGCATGCTACTTCCTCGATTTATGAGATGGTGTATAGCCCAGCAATTTTTGCCTCTCGTAATACTGTAATAAGTCATATTTCCCTTGGACGTTCTCTTTTTCTCAGACGGTTTGTTTGTCATTTCAGTACCTGTTTTGTAATTCTTTGCTCATTTCGCCTTAGAGTGTGCCAGATATATCTCCACCTTCTTTGTCTTACTGCAGTCAATACAGGTATTTGTGCATCCATTTCTCCGATCTCCTCACTTTTTTTTTATAATTATTATTTAATCCTATTTTATGTTCATATTTTTTCTCAGGGATTTATTTAACTTTTCTTCCATAACTTTGGTGGTTCTCTAACTATGGCTGTCATGTGTGAGAAATGAAATAACATTATAATTGAAGATTCACAATTTGATCTAAAGCTGTATAACTTAGAGCTACTATTGCACCGCAGACCGCTTTTGTTGACCGGAATGGCATCCGTTTCTGTAACTAAGAAAAATCTTGTGGCCAGGCAGCTGACCATAAGCCCTCCTCTTTTTTTTTTTTTATCCCTGCTTGGGACCGACAAAGGCGGTTGTGCAGAGCCAGCCAATCTGTCCGCCTGTTGTTGGTAATGTATAACAAACAATGACAGATAAGGCTATCAATGTCAAGTTGAAAATATTACCAAGTGTTCCCATGCGGTGGTCGGCGAACATTAGGAGAAAAAGGGTGGGGTGGGGGTGGGGGAGGGGGGGGGGTGTCAGTGAAGTGAATGTATGAGGTCCGTGATATCATGTACAAAATTATTGTGCAAAATATTTAACACTAAAGGGGAAATAAATGAGGAATTTTAATCAGGTTGCAGCTGGTGTTATTATTTGCATGTCAACCTACGCTGGTTCCAGAAGAAGGGGACGGAACACGTATGGGAATGTCCTGAGTGCAGTAATGTCAGTTATTGATTGTTTAATTGATTGATTGGTTGATTAATTGATTGATTGATTCATCCAGTTTTTCATTTATTCATATACAAAAGAAGCATAGAAGCGCCTCACACTCTTGCGAGCTCTGGTGACTGGTAAATAATTTAGGTATAGTCAAAAGTCAGAACAATAAGGAGTTTCGTACGTTGTAGACCTTCAGAAACAAGAAGGTCTAAAGGTCTAAGCTAAGAGTGAACTACTGGCTAGACTGTCGGGGTTTGCTACAGTTTACTGGCAAAAGGGTCTACAGTGAAGATATTTCTGAGTTAATAATTGTATTGGTAGTGTAATTACATTGTCTTTGCACTGGAACCCACAGGGACATAGAAATAAAGAAAGGAACCTCCGCCTCCCCCCCCCTAAAAAAATGTGGAGAAGGGGGCTAGAGATTTAGGTTAATATGATGGGGAGGACATTGGGAGAGCTGCATGCAATATCTAAATGATAGAATGACTGAGGGTGGAGGGTCTACATGCCACTGGGGGATAGAAGGCAGAAGAAAAAAAAATAGATGTTCATCATCATCATCATCATCATCATCGTGTTATACGATATGCGCGAGCATTCATGTTTCATGATCTCATATGATCACCTGTGATGGTTGAGGATTTGTGGAAGGATCCTCAGTGACGAAGCTGTCACGTCGTTTGCATGGCGCTCTGAAGGTCGCGGGTTCGTTTCACAACTGTGTCGCTTATTTCAAACGAACAGTTTTGATGGAGGTCTTTAGGGATCGTCGCCAGACCTACGGATTCCGTGCTTTATGCCACGCTCTCGCCAGATGTTCTGCGGGTAAAGACAAGGTCATATGGGAGTAAACCAAGTGCAAAGAAAATGGTCCTCCCATCTTCAACCTTTTCAACATGGTCACCTGATTCCTACATCATGTGTCCTCATTATTACACGATTATATCCATCGAACAACAGAATGAATTAAATCTTCTACGAGCTAAATAAATGGAAACGCAGTCCTATCTTACAGTCTGCCCTTCTGACATCACACCTTACATATCAAGTCACCCAGGATTTTATTTCCTTGTCTTTCCCTTATTGTACCCAGTCATCCTTGACTATATTTTCAAGTCTGTACCACCAACAAACTAGGAAACTTGTTAAGGCCACCCAGAACAATTTTATTTGGTCCCACAATATTATCAAATGATTTACTATCAAAATAGTAAAATAACCTTTCATGCATATCGCGAAATTGTGCTGAGGGTAATTGTGTATAGATCGCAGTCCGATGTTTTTATTGTAGCATCCAGAAATCATTGCTTTCTGCATTAACTTTCATGTCTGGACTGAAAGTAAATAGTTCCATCGCTTTGCTACTGAGCTGAATGCATGGTGCGACACTTAGCTACCGTTGTAATCTGGAATGCTTTTTTTGACAAGCATAACATAGTTTATGTTGCGAACTACAGATTCATAAAAAAATAGCGTGTGGCGTTTTGCCACATAACTGGTGGTTACCCATGCGATTAATTGCGTGTGCAGCTGTAGATCTATTTTAATTACTGCTTGTGGTGGCACATCTGATGACTGTTTTCTTCTTGTAATGTGTATGTATATTGTTGATTTGCCGAGGCTGCATTCTGTCAAGTTTCTCACAAGAGACAGCGTTGGAAATTATTTTTTTTTTTTTTTGTGGGCGCATAAACGGAGCAACTATGGGATGACCCATTTGCTGTGAAATTGGAACTGAGATTAACTGATAACAGAACATGAGTATGTTGTCAAAATCAACCACCTTGACTGCGCAACACATTTTCTCGTAATGATTTTAGTCTAGTCGACTTGGAAGCCCTACGTCAATTTATAAAACAAAACTCTTATCGAAATTCAAGCACACACCTTCCTCCTGGCTGTGTAGATAGAGTTTAAAATGTGCATTAAAATCCCGTTAACGAGAATTCCAGGGGATCTGGAAAAAACAGATCGTGTTACAAATGGACTAAAAAGTGCATTATGAATTCTGTTTTTATCCCTGCAAGGATGACAATTGTGTTCACGTTAATGAAGTGTTTTTCTTAAGGTAGTTCGTATTAACGAGATTGTATTATACTGTGATAGAATATGAACAGCGAACAATTACCTGTGAGAGCACAGTTCCTGTCAGCAGCACAATCTGTTCCAAAATAAGAATATATAATTATTTTGCGATTAGTTGATGGTGAAGGAAATATTTCAGTTCTGATTTTGACTGCCTATGTCTCTTTCAGTTGCCTCATATTTTTTATACATAAGACTATTATTTTGCTTTCTTTCCCTCTTCTGTCAATATATCCTAATAATTACAATTGAAATCTCAAATAACTTGTTAACAGTAAATCAAGATTTCGTCAGTTATGTTAGCTGCATATCTACTTTAGTACATCACAAACTCACACAGCACTCATAGACTGTTTTAGCGGATTTTCGAGGTAATTTTACGTTCAGTAGTTTTTAATAACCTTTCTTTGTCAATTGCGAGGAGAAAACCAATTCTTAAAAGCCTTTTAATACTATATTGATATATGGAAGTGAATTATGGACAGTTGGTTACTGAGCAAAAATTTATTTGAAAGCAGTGGAGATGTGTTTTTATAGATAAATAATGAGAATACCCTAGACATATAATAAGAGTAATAAGGATGTAATTAGGATATTTTCAGGGAAACTGACTCACGAAGAGAA